TACTTTAATGTGAAAAAAAAAAATTTGACCTCTGGATTTGTCTTCATGGTAAAAATGACTACCGTATGCAAAAATATGCTATTTTTGTGTTAAAATTCTGGGTTTTGTATTTTATTTTATTTTAAAATACCTGACAAGGGGAGTNATTTTATTTTATTTTAAAATACCTGACAAGGGGAGTACAGATTTTCATAAATATTATAAAAATAAAAAATTAATATAGCATAGAAAGTAAAACTTATTTAAATTTGTTTGCTTCTTTTAAGTCGAGAAAAATAACTTTGAAATTTGAACTAGCTTAAATAGCCAATTTTTTCAAACGCCGGGAGCGACGTACGGTTGCCGAGTTGGTAAAATTTATGTTTTACACGCTTGGGGTACGAGGTTCCAACCCGCGTATGGCAATGAATTTTTTGCATTTTTTTCTTAATTCTTTTTAAGTTAGTATACATTTTTAACTCGTTTGATTTTTATCTCATTTAGATTCAATAACTCCAATAAAGATCAAGGATCCCATAATTTTAGTCACCCCTTGTAAGAAGAAATTTCTTATTCGTATTAAAATTATTTTACTATATTTTAAGTTTTAGCTTCGATGCAAAGCTGAGAAGATATTTTTTGTGACTATCATTTATTTTCTCTGCTCTAACTTAACCTACTTTTTTCAACGATACGTCAAATGGCTACAATTCGTATCTAGTTGAAGATATTACCCTCAAAAATTGAAAAAAAATTTCATATTATCAATGAAACAGTTAGTTATTCCATGTTCTCCATAGAGACAATTAAAATCATTCATTTCTAATGTTTTCAAAATATTTATTAACGAATGAAGTTTGATATGATAGGTTTCAACTACAAAATTAAATCATTTTACTTTGTAATTTAATAATTTTTTTACTCTATTTGTGTGTGCTACTACTAGACTATAATATTACAATTTTTTTTTGTAACATGTTGCTATATAAATCATTTCTAAAAAAAATGATTGTTTTTTCTCCTGAATTAACAATTGATTTTTACAAATATAATCAAATTTTATAATACACTCAATTGAGTAAATCTTTTTAACAACTTTGTTTTGATTGGTACATTTAGTTAAAGTAAATCATTAAAATTAATTAAGTTCTCAATATTTCAATTATAGAATCTTTTCAACAAACAACAAAAGTTCCTAGGAAATTATTACTATTACTTCTATTTAAGTTATCTATTACCATAAAAATGCAAAAAAATATTGAGCTTTTCTGATAAATTTACAATAAATAGTAATTATAAAACTTTCTGACTGCATATTGATCTTAACGATACAATTTTTTTAATTGTCATAAAATTTTCTATTTAATTATGTCAATGTCAAACTTACCAATTGAGCTAAAAGTTATGGTAAAATAAATTTTTTTTTTTATTATAAACATTTACAACAATCAACTTTAAACGATTAACAAAATAGGTTAAATATGTCATTTTCCTTATTTTTAACTTATTAATAATCAAATTAATATTAAATATTATATCAAATCAGTATTAATTTAAAACAATTTTTTTTGTTCTTAATTATTTTTTTTTATATGTAAAAACTATTTTTTAATAATATTAAAACTTAGAAGTTATAGAAAAAGTCTAATTGCACATTTTAAAACATCGCGAAAAGTTGATTTAGAATAGTATATTTTTGTTTCTGATGGAAGTTCCTTGTAGTCCAGTGTATAAAACTTATAACTTTGTTAATTGTTATAACTTTATCAAAAATGACCAAATCAGTATATTTTTTTTTATTTAGATGCATGTCTTTATCTATCATTTGGTTTTTTTTATAAATCTAACCCTTTACCTGCCCACAAGAGGGATTCAAAATATTAACTTTTTTTTTTTTAGTTAAAGTAAATCATTAAAATTAATTCAGTTCTGGATATTTCAATAGTAGAATCTTTTTAAATATCAAAAATTACTTAGAAATGATTACTATGATTTCTATTTAAGTGTTCTATTACGATAAAAATGCAAAAAATAATGAGTTTTTCTGATAAATTTACAATAAATAATAATTATAAAACTTTCTGACTGCATATTAATCTTAAAAATAACATTGTTTTAATTCTCATAAAATTTTCTATTTAATGATTCATTCTAGTCAACGAAGGAGTAATTTTGCAGAATAGCAGAAAAAATTCCCAACAAACTTTTTTTTTTTTTGTTTTAATTAGGCAATTGGTGGATTATTCCAAAAGCAACATCAACTCTTATTTCTTTAATTATATCATGATTAGTAGTTCTTTGATTTTAAAATATAATATTTGAATATATACTAATTATAATTATTAAATTTAGTATGAAATTGATATTTAATATTGTAATTTAAACGGAGAAATTATAAAAATAATAAAGAAGTTATATTTTGCTTTACTTTTACGTGTATAAAAATTTAAAGGGCTTGATACAATAATTTTCAATAAAAACTGTTTGTTACTATAAAAAAATGCACTGGACTACAAGGAACTTTCATCAGAAGCAAAAATATACTTTTCTAAATCAACTTTTCGCGTTGTTTTCAAATCTGCAAGTAGACTATTTCTATCACTTCTAATTTTTTATATTATTACTAATTATATATATAAAATAATAATTAAAAGAAAAAAAAATTTGTTTTCAAATTATTACTGATTTGATTTTTAATATGTTAAAAATAATCAGTCCAAATTTTCAATTTTAACCTATTTTTTTGGTTCTTTAAAGTTGATGAAAAATTTTTGATAAAGATTTATGAAAGTTTATAGTAAAAAAAATTGAATATATTACCATAACTTTTAGCTCAATTACAAGTTTAAAATTGACATCTAAGCCAGTCAACAAAGGAAAAATTTCTTAAAAAATTCCCAACCAAATTTTGTTTTATTAATAGTTGAATTAAAATATGCATAATGACATACTAATAGTCCTCATTGATTGAAATTGAGCTTTTTTTTTACAGCCTCGCAAAAGTTCATAAATATCAGCTTTTTTAATTTTCTCAAAAAATATTTAACTTACAAAAAAAAGTTTCGTACAAAAGTTGTTTAAAAGACAATTATAAACAAAAAAATTATCTTATATTTTTTCATTTAAACAAATATTTTTCGAGTTACATTACATTTAATATGAGTACTAAAATTTATATTCCATTTTTTTCATTTTACGGTTGCTTTTTATCATGTTATACATTAGACACAATGTTATAAATGCATATGTGTGTGTGTATGTGTGAGTTTATTTATTTATAGTATCATTTAAGTGTAGTGTATATTAAGATACAACCGATAGAGTAGGTAATTGATTTGACACTATATTGTTTAAACCCAACTAAACGCTAAATTGTACATTCCCAAACAACAATCATATTATGTCAATTGCCACCGGAATTTCTGGTAATCTTTTTCTTTTTCTTTGCCTTAATCCCAACTACTTGGGGTCGGCCACCCTTATCCTAAGATTCCACTTGACACGATCTCCCACATCTTCTACGCTCACATCAGCTGTCCTCATATCGTATTCAATAGCATCCCTCCATCTCATTTTTGGTCTTCCTCTACCTCTTCTTCCTTCAACATTCATTTCTATAACTGATCTTACAGCTTCCGATTCTTCTCTCCTCATAACATGACCAAACCATCTAAGTCTATTTTCTCTCATCTTATCCAAGTTTGACGCTACACCTATACTCCCTCTTATATGCTCGTTCCTTATTCTATCTTTTCTAGTCACTCCACTCATCCAACTAAGCATTCTCATCTCTGCTACACTTATTCTCTGCTCTACTTTCTTATTAACCGCCTAACACTATGAACCATACATTATGGCTGCCCTCTCAATTTCATACTGAATTTAAAAACTATAATTAGTATTTATTCATATATTATATTTTAAAATCAAAGAACTACTAATCAGGATATAATTAAAGAAATAAGAGTTGATGTTGCTTTTGGAATAATCCACCAATTTCTCTAAATGAAACACTATCTACAGATTTGCATCGAGGCATTTCTCATGATAGTGATTTTAATCACTGTCAGATTTCATCTATACTTGTCTCATCTATGCCTCGTCCACACTGTGCCTCGACCCCACTGTGCTACCGTTTTTTTTTTTTACTTAACACTAAAAATTTATTATAATTAGGATTATAGTTATAGAAAGCGTGGGGATCACTCCCTCAAAAATATAAAATGTTCCTGTGGTACTCTGTATGCTTATGATAAATTTTCAGTATTGAATGTTCTGGGTATTTCATAAGAAGTAATCCAAGAAATTTTATAAATGTATAGTCTCGAGCTCTGCCAATAAGTAAAATATAATTCTGAATAGTAATCATTATTTTAATTATTAACATAGTATAATTTATTGATGTAACAATATTCAATATATTAATAATAATATATTTTGTTGCTATTAGTTTGTTCATTGGTTGTTCTTAAAATGCGTTTATTAAGATTTAATGTGAAATAAAAATTAAATTATTGCATGTAAATTTGAATAGAAAGGCGTGGTATAATTAAGTATTTTTCAGGTAAAAATATTAATTAAATTAACAAAGGATATTGAATATATTAATTGTATTAAATATAATTTATTTTGTAATTTCAAAAAAGTAGTCACACATTATGCACAAGGACAATTATCTGATTTTACTCACATGGATCATACAAAAAGCTTTAAGACAACTGAAACGCTTAAAATAGTAATAATTCTTAAATTTCAACTTATAGAAAAGTTAAGACTTTTTTAGGCACAACGTTATATTAAACACGAAATGAAATTTCGTATACGAGTTAAATGTTTTTTTCTTCGTTAATTTATTTGTCTTGAAATGATAATCTGTCATTATTATGTTTGATAAAATTTTGATTTATTAACAACAATTTCTATTTATTCATAATATATTTTTTCATAACACACATTGATAAATAATATCTATATAATAACCTTATTAACGCTAAATGTTATACTACTGTAAATTTACTTACGTATTTACAGGTGAATTTCTGTACTTAAATATAATTTGTTTGATATAATTTGATGCTAAATAGGTCTACATAACGGTTATATTTATTTTAAGCATAATCAAATTTTTCGTTACGCTCGGTTCGATAAAATAGATAAAATATGAACATGATTTAAGAAAAACATACAAAGATTTTCATACTGTTCTTGGAAGAAAGACTAAATTCATCGTTGAATGTAACAACAATATAATCATGTATTAAATAGTATGCATCATTGTTTTAACAATCATAAATTTGTTTTAAAGTTAATATGTAGTATAACATTTAATCACATGAGTTAATTATAATTTATGAATAATACTATTTTTCCTTATGAAAAAACATTTAAACATTTGTTTTATGTTATTTATTAACAATAGGTAGATATTACATAAGAACCTTTACAAAATTTACTTTGGAATACTTTTATATTAAATAAATGTAGTTATTATCTATAAGTCTCTTTTTTTTAATGCTTTGATATTCATAATATAATATTAGTGATTTGGTGTTAAATTTTTTTACAAGTTACTTTAATTAAATAATATGAATTGTAATTTTACATTATGAAAGCTGATTGATTATTAAGTAACAAGATTGATTTTTCGTTTGTTACCTTTCACCTGTCAATCCATCAATTATAAAAATAAATAAACTTATTAGTGTAATTTTTAATATCTGTTTTTTTCTTACTTAGATTTTTAAAGAGTATAATCGCTTTTCAAATTATATTCCAGTATTCATGATTCTTATATGTATTATGTTCATAAAATTCAAATTTTTATTATATAAAATGAAGTTACAAATTATGAATTATAAAAAATAAATATTATGTTAAAAAAACAAATATTGAATTATTTTCTTAGAGTTTCAGGAGTATAAACATCTGCTCCAGCATTTCCTGTTCCTTTTGAGTCACCGAGCCAAGGATATTTGGCTGGACACTGTTTGCAAGTTGATAAATACCTTAAAAAAATAATTAAAATAGTAAAACATTGATTTTTTTATCAATATATATATATATACAAACATACAATATGTTATATATTCTCTTAAATTTTATTTTACCTAATTACAGAAATTCCTGATTCTGGTTGTTTAAAAGATAATGGACATTTATTGGGTAAATTACAAGGTGGCGATGGCAGCTGATCAGTCTTATCACATTTCCATGGTTCATAAGATAATAATTCTTTTACGCTCTTCGGCTCAGTCATCCAAGTTAATGCTTGTGTGATGGTAACAAACCATACATCTGGTCTAATAAAATAATATTTATACTATCAATTTGATTAATTAAAAAAAAATTTAAGTTTTTAGAAATTTAATAATTTTACGTACTGTTTATTGGCCCAATCAATGAATTTGTGTAAGCCGTTCTCTAACTCTTTTATTTGGAACCAGTTAGTATGGAAAGGCATCATGTATGGTGCACGGTTTTGTGTGTAATACCGGTTAAAATCTTCACGAAGCCATTCAAAAACTTCTGTAGCATCATGATTATGGAGTACACATTGGTCTAAATATGGACAGTGACCGCCTTCGTAGGTCTCAACATAATGTGCATTTAATGGTACTTGCCATGTACCTATCAAAATATTTTAAATATGTAATGTTAATATTGGTAATCAAATAATCAATAATTTTGTTTTTGCTAAGCTAAAAATTAATCTATAATCACAAAATAATTTTTTTGTTTTAGTTATAAATATTTACCTTTGAACGATTTAGTCGGACATGTTCCTGATTTGCATTCATGTGGGATTTTATAGTCTAATGAATATGGCCAAATTGGTACTCTAGATGGAGGTATTCCGATTGAACTATCATAAACAAAACCATAATCTTCGATTACCTTAATAACGCAAAAAAGAATATCTTTAACAATTATCAATTATATTGTGGTTAGTTTGAAATAACTTTAGTAAAAATTAAGTAAATATTCATAGTTGAGGGACTATAAATTAAATAGTTTTATTTCATTTATTAGTATACTAACTTCGTATTGAGTGTTTCGACCCGGTTTTAAAAATGGAGCTCTCATTCCTACGATATCACTCCTGGATAAATTGGCAAAATTAACAAGGATCTCACGCATTCCAATCATCTCAGCTACCCATTCTTCATAACCTTTATTTTCTAAGCCTTTTTGTAATCTAAATAATATATTAATGTTAATCAAGGTATATATAATCTGATAAAAACAATTCCTATTCATATTTGACATATGTACTCACGATATAGTTTCAGTGCCAATTTCATGACCGTTATGTGCTAAATCTTGAACCATGTTATAATCACAATACTCATGAGATATAAAGAAGGTACCTTTAATTAAACATCCATTAGGATTTTTTTTATTGTGTGAAAACACCTTTTGGTAGTGATCATAATTATTTTGATTAACTGCTCCATCAAAAGTTAGTAATATCATTTGCGGAGTCTGTATAGGTAAATAAAGTATATAAGTTACTTTGATAGCTGATAATTTTTTAAACTTACGTCTTTAGGATCTATTCCTCCTGGAATTATAGTACCATCCCGAGAGCAAAAGCAGTAAGGTAATGTACACTGACTGGTGTCACATTTTTGTGCTAAATCAATCGGATTTTCAGTACTAGGAGCTTCAGCTAAAAAATAAAACTATTAATTAAAATAATATTTCAGAAATTTATTTATTTATTTATTTGTTACTAATAGGAAGAGGTCCGCAACGAGCTTCATTTTCAAAAGTACACAACTTGTTTATATCGTCAAAGTATAGACCCGCTGGACAACGGTTTAAATATGGATGATTGTCTACACACTAAAAATTATAAAAAATATGTAGTTATTCAATCAAAATCATAGCGAATTAAGATATAATATACCTGATAAAATCGACGACATGTTGCCGGATCAGCATAGTTACCATTTCCTCCAGCTTCTGGACATACGAATTCTTCAGTATTGCCTTCGCACATAACTATGAGAAATAAAAATACAAACAAGTGTAATTAAGGATATTTACTGATTTTATCTATCAAAAATTATAAAAAATTCTAAAATTTTTATTAATGTAAAATTTTATACATTAATTTCTCTAGAAAGTTTTTGAAAAAATTTAATTTATTCGTAAAAATATATTTTGATTAGTTTAAAGTTAAAGTATTAGTTCAATGATCTTCAGCAACCTTAACATATTTTATTTTTGTTCAGAATAAAATACACGTATCTACATGTGTATTCACAGACCTTTGTTATAGTATTATAAAATCATAATGCCCAAGGTGAAATATAATTATATGATAATAGATATTTGTGGAAAGCGATTTTGATGATATGTATGGAGATTATGTGATGGTATGCGCAGTTCATTAGTATTTTAAAAGAAAAATTTCTTTGTTATGCTTTCACAGTGTGTAAGTAAGAGTCAATTCCTATTTTTAAATAATGATCTGTCGTGTTACAAACAATTTTAGTATAAAATATTATTAATTTTATTGAAATAATTTATATACGAAGATAGAAAAACTCTATTAATAAAAGAGTGTATGCATTTTTATTAAAAGAAAAAGTTATCGACTGTTTGCAGATTAATTGGCGTAAATAACATTTTACCAAAAACTTTCAAATTCGATTGATTTGAAGTATTCATAAATTATATTAATATTTTTAAGAAAAAGAAATTGTTGATAAAAATGTCGCTTATGTCTATAGCCTACAAAAGTCAATATTTGAAAAATGAAATTGTTCAAGATTATTGAAACGTGTTTTATACAAGTTGATTTTTGAAATTAAGAATTGACAATAACTATACTATTTTAATGATTATTAGGTATTTATAGGTTTCACTAATTTCACTTTCTATTGATGATACATATGTGACTAAATCAGATCATTACAATTTCTCTTTCATTATGCGTGAAAATATCTCAATTATATCACATTACTATATGGTTAACGTATAAAACTTTTCTGTAGTTAAATTAAAATTACAAATTAATTTGATTTATGATGGATAAAAAATATTTTAAAAATCGTAATACATTGTTTCCATTAGAATTTGCTTAGTAAAAATATCGATGTAGTTCAGAAATATTATTATATACTAAAAGGTTATTTTATTTTTATGTTTAATCTACCCTAGGAAAAATGAACGTAATTTTACAGCCTGTGAAGTACAACTACCCTTACATAACCCGATTCAATTTATTAATCAGAATTTTTCAAATAAAAGGAATGTATACAGCACATTAGACTGAAAATTTTCAAAAATTATTTTTTTAACATTATTTAGAAAAATTAATTGACGTTGATTATACAGATATCGAATAAAAAAGCGATTTAATGAAATATAAATTGACTATTACTAGTTACTATTTTTAACATGTATAAAAAAATTGTTTAATAATAAAATAATTGAATATGACTTGACTAAACTAACAACGTGAAAGAATTTGATCAATATTATTTTATCAAAGTTATGTCAGATTAAATTTAAAGAGTGTTGCTCTTTTATTATTTGATCATCTAAAGATAATGAATTCTCTGATCCCAAGTTATTAGATAATATTATTAGAACTTGTTTACTGATTAAACTCAATTATTTTAAATGAATAATTATTATGTGAATTTATCTCACCTGTAAAGAATAATTGAATAAATAATATACTAATCATTTTAATTATTGCTAAATCCATAACTTTAGTGTCCTTTTAAGCAGTTATATTAATTTCTTCCAGTAAAATGCGTCTACGTCATGTTTCCGATAAGTATGTATTAATAATTTGACCAATAGCCAACTTCTTTGTCCGCTGTTGTTGTGGTACTGCGTGAGTATAAGTAACCTGCAATGTTCGTTGGTACTCATGGTGGGTAAGGTTGACCACTTTCTCACACCATAACCAGTTTTTAAAACGAAAATTTGATTTATCGTTATTAATATTACTACAATATCATTACGTTAAATAAACGTTTGATTTTAATGTTTTTTTTTATAAATATGGTTGGACTCTTGCCATATTCAAAGCCAAAAACATTACACTAATTTGGGTAATATTGTCTTGATTCATTAACTATTAAAATTTACTAACAAAGAAATTTGTACTTAATTAGAATAAAATATAATGCGATAAAATTTCTTTAGTTAAAAAATGATAGGCCAGTTATATCTAATTAAAATTAACGCTTAAATTTAGTTTTTCTCTAACTTATAATATTTATTTTCCAATCTATTTTATAAATAAAATTAACAGTTCAATAATAATAATATATATAAAACAATACATTTTTATAACTTAAATCTATATATGTAATTTAAAGTAAATTTTTTATACATACTATATATAAATAATCGATTAATTTTATCATAGCAAATTAAATGTCTTTCAAATGTATTTAATTAACTTTTTACTAATTTCTAAAAAAACATAGTAAATATCAATTTTTTTTATAAATTTTAATTGATTTTAAATTGTTATATTCCATACACTATCAATTTTTGGCACATTTTCCTCTGTTTTTAACTAAAAAATGTACATTTAAAAATCAATAAAATATAAAATCAATTATTCCTGTTTAATTTACTTTATCAATAATGTGATCTTGACACGCCATTCGAATCTTTTCAACTGTAGCTGGTGGGTCAAGTCTAAAATATTCTATTATACCAGAGTCTTTTCGAGCTGCATAAATAGCATTTTTTATCGCAAAAAAAACCGAAGCGGATAAGAATAGCGGTGGTTCTCCAATAGCCTAAAATAGAACAATGTTTTTTAAAACGTATAAATTAAAATTTCCCTTTTACTTTTGAGGAATGTACAGCCCTGGGATTACTTGATCCCTTTAATAATGAAACAGTAAACTCAATTGGAATATCAGCAAATCCTGGAATTTTGTAAGTACCAGGACCTATTGTATACAATATTCCTTTTGGACTATATACCAATTCTTCCATTGTAAATAAACCATATCCTTGCATAAAAGCTCCTTCAATTTGTCCCACATCAATGGCTGGGTTTAGACTATTTCCTACATCCATTACTATGTCTGTGCTTAAAACCTAAATCCAATTGTAAAATATCTAATCGTTGTCAAAAATCAAATTATATTATTCTCCTCTAAACTTCTAGTTCATTCATGTATTCTTGTGAATAATGATAAATCAGAATTTTTTTTTTTTGTAACAAAAAAATATCATATTTTCTTACTTTATGATCGCCTGTTAAACAATCTATTTCTACAACCGAGACGGCAGCTCCGTTAGTAAAGTACATATAGTAATTGACTGTACCTTGTTCGGTAGTAGTACCCACAACATGATTACTGATTTGAGTAAACAACTTATAATAGAGAAAATTATGATAAAAATTAAATAAGTGAATACTTACGCATAATATCCCTGAGCCCATAGACAAACTTTGTCGAAGTAAGCTGAATTTACCCATTCTTTCCATGTACCATTAGGCTTTTTCTTTTTATATGGTTCAAGTCGTTTGTTAATAATTTCACATGCATTCTTAAAATATTCTATTAATTAATATCCTAAGTTATAAAGAAGTACACTAAGCTCTTACTAAGATTGCCATTCCATTTAAATCAGAGCTAAAACTGCCAGCAGTAGGTGACATATTAGCAATTTTATCTGTACTAGTTTCTTTGATATGTATCAAATTATGGGAAATATTTAATCCTTTACTAGCAATTTGTATCATTTTAGTATGTAGTCCTTGGCCCATTTCTATACCACCATGTGTTAATAACACTGAACCATCTAAATAAATGTGCAATAGTACACCCGCTTGATTTAAGAATTTCCCATGGCCTGCATATGCTATGCCATACATAGTAGGAATTGCAGAAATTCCACGTTTCTTCCACCGATTAATTCTAAAGTTTTTATTCAAATTTCATATTACTTCGGTAAATATTTAAAAACAAATAATTTTTATTAGTTGGTTTAAAAATTAACAACAGACAATTTAATGTATTATACAAGCGATTTTTAAAAAGGAATGATCAATTATTACAGCTGAAAACTAAATTACAGTCTTGAATTTTATGATAGTTAATAACATTTATACAACAAACTACGACATTTTGCCTTAAAGAGCTTATTATCATATGTACTGAAAAAAACTGTATAAATTCTTTTTTTATGTCAAACATTTTAATTATTGACTCACTTATTAAACATTTCTATTTCATTAAATTTTGTTGCATATTTTGACTTTCTTGTAACTTCATCCCAGCAAGCTTTAACAGTAAAACTCGGAACTATTTGATTATAATGTGTTGTTTGGCCATTTTGAAAGAAATTGATCTCTCGTATAGAATTAGGATTAATGTTTAGTTTAGTCGCTATTCGTTCAACAATTGCTTCAGCAAAATACATGCCCTGAGGAGCACCAAAACCTCTAAATGCAGTGTTGGATGGTAAATTAGTTTTACAAGCATATCCAGATACTTTAAGATTCGGAACAAAGTAAACGTTAGCTATATGAGCAACACATCTCTCCATAGTCTAAACCAAACATAGTAGAATTTTGAATTACTCAGTAATTTTGTAATCAGCATTAGTATAAGTACAGTTAAAAAAATTGAGTTTGGTGAGAAAACTATTTTAAAATTAATTGTTCTGTGTAGTAGTAAAAATTAAAAAAAATTAAAATCTACCATTTTATGGTCTACAATAATTAGAAGTATTTTATAATAATTTTCGACGTTGATTCTTAAACTGGCTTCATATTTTTTTATACATCTAGTTAGTATTTTTAGATTGGTTTAAAAAGTTTAAACTGAGTTTGAAAATAAAAATAACAACTAAATTATAAAATAATTGTTATATGATTATAATATATGACACAATGTTTATTGTCTTTGTGGGCTTCCCTCCAAAGAGTTTCACCTACAACCGTGATTAGTGTCACCATCGGTCTTTGATCGCACTGTGTCTTCAAACGGAACACCAGCATCGAACAACTAATTTATCCGTACTGTTCGCCTTTGGTTTGCACCAACCTCAGGTACCCTTGTAGAGTCGTGGCACTATCCAAGCCACTTTGTATTATGGTATACACAATCTTCAGTGTATCTTCCCATTGGAAAAGGCTCAGCTGATTTCTCTAAAGCCAATATTTAACCATAAACCACAAAGTTACTCCTGTGACAGCCACCGCAGACCAAGCTCCACTGTTACCCGAGCGGTAAACCGGTCTCATAACAAGTGTTGAAACGGCAGACAATGACTAGGCTTTTGTCTGGGGCACCCGTTCCGCCCGTGGAACGGAAAAACCTCTGTGGGGTTTTCGGCTATGCGTCATTGACTTTCGTCTCAACAACTGCCTACCCGCCTTGAGTTGGTGCACTCTGGCCCGGGTGAGCCAGGCTATTAGTTGCCACCCTGGCCTATCAGAGACTCACCGCCCAATATATGATACAGTCAAATTTTAATTAAATTTTAACTTCAGTCATCAATCATTATTATCACTATAATCGCATTAATGTTAACTATAGTTTTCTATAACTTTGCAGAAATTATTATTTGATTTTAAATTTGTTAATAAAACTAAAAATGTCCAACATGCATCTTACTCAATTTTTATAAAGTTACTCTGAATCACTTGCATTTTAAGCATTTTATATTACCTCTGATGATAAATCTAATGAATATCCAGCATTGTTATACACAACAACTTCTAAAACGTTAATTTTACCATCTTGATTAAACCCAACTTTATATCTACATAGAAATGGATGCCTTCCACCTGTGATCAACATATCTTCATGACGTTCAAGCATACATCTAATAGGTTTTCTTGTTCTGCAAAATTTCGAAAATGATTATATAAATACTTACGTTATACATAATTTAAAAGTGTCTTTTTGTTATATTACTTAATGGCTGCTACAGCACAAGGTACAGTTGTAATAAAAGCTCTAGTTTCTTTTCCGCCAAATCCTCCTCCTATTCGTTTTGTTTTGCAAACCACCCGATTAGCTGGTATATTTAAACAATGAGCAACTATACCCTATTTAAATTTAAATTAACGAACACTATTACTTAATTAACATAAAAAAATTAGTCAGGTACTTGAAGTTCACTAAGCGATTGTGTTGAACTTATAACTTCAATTTCATCATGCTCATTGAAGGGTATTATCATACAACATTGAGTTTCTAAATAAAAATGCTCTTGTCCACCAATTCTTAATACACCTTGAAGTAAACATTTTGAATTTTTGAAAGCTTCTTCGATATTACCTTTTTCCCAATATGAACATCTACCATTGTGGAAAAGTTCTTTTTCAATTGCTTCCTGTTAATTATGGAATCATTAGTTTCATTATAAATTATTTCAATATTTTAAAGTAACTAAAAATTATGAAATACTTCAATAGTTAAAATAGGTTTTAAATCCTCATATTCTATATTAATTAAACACAGTGCTTCTTGAGCTATCATTTGATTCACTGCAACTACAGCACATATTATTTGACCATAATAAAAAACCTAGAATGTTTTAAATTATATTGTATTAGAGTTAGCAACTCTTTTTAAATATAAGGATCAGGTTTACTTTATCTCTTGCGAATATAAAATCATCTTTCAGTGGTGTAATGCCCACCATATTACGAAAACCCGGCAAATCTTTTTCGTCTACAATAGTAATAACACCGGGATATAATAAAGCTTTACTGTAATCTACAAAAGTAATTCTAGCGTGTGCACGTATTGAAGTTTTCACCGCTAAAAAAAGTTCATCTGCTAGATGTGGTAAATCATCACAGTAAATAGCTTCGCCTGTAAGCAATGTTTTAATAAACTACGATAAAAATAACTACGTGCAAAAATCTACCTGTTGTTTGCTGTTTTGCCGAAGCATGAACAAAAGGTTTTCCTACAGGATCCTCGCTGTTATGTGAATTTGGATCTACATGAAAGTATTGAGCATACTTTGGAGTAGTTGTCTCAAGCAATATTTTTGTTTTACATATATTTTCAGATCTTAGATGTTCGGTCACATATTGATAAAATTTGAAAAACAAACTAAAAAATAATTATATATTATCTAATAAATTAGATAGTTTGCGAATTATATGTATATTTAAAAATATATATTATAATTATTACCTTAATGCTAATGTTTTACGATATGATACCATTCCTCCTGGTGCATTAAGTGCTAGAGGCATTTCTTCAATTAATTTCAAATAAACATCATCCAACATATTTTCTGACCACGTTCTATTTATTAGAATGGATTTGGTATTTTTTGCCAGTATTGTAGTAGCTGACATACCCCCAAAGGAAATTTCTACATCTTTAATAGTTTTTTCAACAATTTCTACATAAAAAGCAGCATTAACTATAGCAATGTCATCTTCTTTTCTTCTTGACTGTTTAAATGCCTTAAAAAATGTGTGCTAAAAGAATAATTAAAGAAACTCTAAGTAGTTTAGAAAATAATAAAATCAATTGAATCATAACATTTGATTTGAGAAATTTTTTACTTTTTTAGTGAACGGTATAAATATATCTACTATAACTTCATCAGATAAGACACAATTTTTTCGATATCCAGTGAAAAAATTACAATCCATTGTCAACAATCTATGTCCATTATCTTATAATAATTAAAATAGTTTCATAATTTAGTAAACATGTACAATAAATTAATTTATTCGTTTATCTATTAATGAAAATTTTCATTAGTTATTTGAATTTATTTGTCTTACGTTTACTCCAAACACTCAATTGGCATCGAGCGGCCAGAAAAATTGGATTCAAATCTGATATAGGGCTACCAGTAATAATATTCCCTGCAACACACTGAACATTCCAATTTCATTAAAAATGTTAATAATAAATTATTTTATTGATTTTCGAGGTAAAAATTTTCAAATATATCTAATTTTTTATTATTTTGGTCGATATTAAAATTATTACACAATTAAAAAGTTATAAAATCTGTATTTCGATTAAATTTTTACATTAAACATTTTTGAAAATAATTTATTTTTAATCATTATGATTAGTATGATATTTGATGTTAATTATTAAGTATAATAACTATTAATTGATCCGTTCTTTTAGGCAAATAATTTGATTTTTGAATGTGTATAATTTAGAAGATAAAAATGATTAATTTCATCACATTTACAACAATGTAATAAATGGTACATATCATGTGTACTACAATTTTCATGTAAATATACTTTATATCTTTTACTTACTCCGACATTTCTTATTTGTTTGCTAGCAAACCGTGGTATTATTTCTAATAAGGACTTTACAATTTGCATTTTGTAATCTAAATTAAATAATATTTTTTATTAAATGATTATAAAAAATCTATTCCTTGTGATAGTAACTTATTTACCCGAAACGTGTTTGACTAAAAATTTTAACTGATTCTCTAATTTTTGAATAGTTACAGCTGCTCCTACCAAAATTCCATTTTCTGAGACATTAAAAATATTTAACTCAGGAATCATAATTGGCTGTATCATTACGGGATACTGACAATTCTTAAATTTTACTTCTATACCTTTAAATCAAATAAATATTTAAAACTTGACTTGATATTTGCATTTACTCAAAGATAGAACTACATATAGATAAAATTACTATTTTTTGTGTGTCTCGTCGTTAAAGATAAAAACCTCTATATTTTGAACTCACACTTCTCAAGAAATACAATACCACCAATAAATTATTACTTCATTTATTATTTGTATTCCTCAGACTAATACTTCAGTGTACGAGAAAACTTAAATAGTTCAGAGACACGTCGCATTATGGTCTTAGATAGGTAAACCCTCATATGTTTACTTGTATAATAATTTTTAAAGTATCATTTATTGTTTCTATCTTACCAATTTCAGTATTTCCAACAATTATCCTGCTATTAGGAAACTCGTTTTTAAGTTCCAAAAGTTGACAAAGAGTTGTTGGCCTGTACCATATTGTCGTTTTTCCCCGGAATATTAAATATTCTTCATCGTATTTTCTATCTATCTTTAAATAACAACGATGAAATTTAAAATAAATTTTTATTTAAAATTTCATATAAGACTTACAATTAGTTCTGGTGGAAAAATTGGTTCTTGAGTTGAGTCATATGGTGTAAATTTTGATGAATCAATCATATCAGTAGATTGTTCTTCAATTTTTTTAACTTTTTTACAACATTGTTCACCCATTAAACAGTATCCATTGTTTATATTTTCAGTCATTAATGTTCTCAATCCTTGCAAAATAGGCCTATAGCCTGTACACCTACATAAATTTCCTATCTTTGTCGTTATTACCAGAAACAATTATTCTTATACAATAGTTCAATTCTTGAAACTTACCTTGTAATGCGTGTTCAAAATCATTTTCATTAGGTATTTTAGCTAAAGACCTTAGCATAGCATAAACAGACATTACTATTCCAGGTGTACAAAATCCACATTGTGATCCATGACTCAACGCTATTCGTTCTTGAATTGGATGTAACATCTTTTTAGTACTACCTATACCCTCGACGGTAATTACAGCACACCCGTGAATACTTACTACTGGGCATAAACAAGCATTTACCGCCATATGACTAAAATATTGCACGTTATAGGGAAAATAAATTATTTAAACTTAAAATTCATAAATTAATATTTATTTAAGAATAAATAAATTTTTATTTGAAAAAGGATACATTGGTTGGTTTTTTATTCGGTCATATCTTGAAATCATTACAGTACATGCTCCACATCCACCTTCAGCGCAACCTAATTTAGTACCCGTTAAGCTTACTGTTCAAAAATGATAAAGGAAAATTTTCTAAATTATTTCAAATTGATTAATATAAATAATCTCAAATTAAACTAAAAAGGATACATTTTGTTCTTAAATAGTATAATAGAGTCCATTGTGGTTCTGCTTTTAATTCCACTACCTATTTAATAAATAAAAAGTATATTATATTATTATAGCCTTTGAAAAAGTCATTACAATTTAAACTGATACAAATTAAAAATATCTTCTTAATTAAGTCCTTAAAATAAAAATAAAAAAGAAAAAGAAAGAATAGATAAATTTGTTTTTTAGTAACCCTTCTTCTCCCAAGAAAAGCATAATTACATGCGTAAATCATTTTTTTTAAATTTATTAAAAGCCATGTTTATCATTTAGAATTCATTAAAAACCGATTAATAAAACTGTTAAATCATGCCTTACAATACGTGTTTTATTAAACTCAATTTTAATATTTCAGTTTCGATGTGAAGCTGAGAAGGAATTAATTTCACTTTTACTTTTATTATTTAAATAAGAATAATATTGATAACTTTTTTTTAGTTTCTATTAGTTCAACGTTGTTCTTAATTTATTAATCATAATATTTATTCCTAATATTTTATATGAGTATCAACTTTAAGTTTAGTTTCGATGCAAAACTGAGAATTAATTGATTAATGATGTGTTTTATTTTTTATGTCTGTCGCCACTTTTTCTTAGCTCTCACCGGACCGTTTCTTTTAATGATATGTTAAAAAATCACAAATCGTATCTAGTTAAAGACATCGCCCTTAAAAATTGAAAAATTTCCCTCGTTCTTTGTAAATGGGGTATATCCCCCCCAAAAAATTACAATTTTTAAATCAGTAAATGTCGACAGTTGTTAAACTTTTTTTTTTTATATAAACTACCATAAATTGTTGAAAAATAAACGAATCAAAATATTTTTTTTTATTGGAACCTTAGGTATTTTCTTTTCATTTAATATGGATTTTTTGAAAATCTGACCCTTTATCTTCCCACAGTGGGATATTCCAAATAGTAACGTTTACACATAAGTTAAACTTTTTAAACCTTTGTAAATGATCTAGAAATATTGACATTTTTTTATACATCTTAAATTGAAGCTTGTATAATATATTTCACTTTAAAATTTTAGATTAGTTTTGTAATTTTTATCTTTAGACAAATGTGATGAACGGTTGCCATGTAAGTGAAATTTATGTCTTTAACGCTAGGGGTTCGAGATCAAACCCGCTTGTAAAAGTGAATTTTTTACATTTTTTTTTTATATTTGAAATCTGCGTGAATAATAGATTTCCAAAAGTATGTTTTTGACTCTGATAAAAATTCCTTGTAGACCATTTATTCACAATTAACAACAAATTATCTTCTGAAAAGTTTTGTATACACGTTTACCATAAAAATTACAATACTAAAGTATCAAAAATATCACTAATATTCTAAAATATTAGAATTACTAATTAGGAATGACGAAGGAGATAAATATTAATTTTGCTTTTGGAAAAATTCACCAATTTCTTAAAATTTAACACTATCTATAGGTTTACATCGAAGCGTTTCTTATGATAGTGATTTAATCACTGTCACATATCATCGTTACTTGTCCCAATTACGCCACGTCAACAATATGCTACTGGTTTGTTAAAATAATTTTTTATTGTAAAGCTTTAAGAATTTATCTATTTGAACTTACCTTTTTACCATTTACATAAAATACTAAAACGGATGACGAATTATCCATGGTATTTCTTTTATTTAATAAAATTTTAAAAATTATATGTAATCAAAGTGGTACCGTTTTTAAAAATAAAATTACAAATATAACACTGTATTACAAGTTATAAATAATCACTGATATATCGTGTTATCAAGAAACACAATGTATTCTATTAACACAAGAACTTTCTCTAAAAAATGAACTATTCTTACTGAATGTGATGTAGTAAAAACATTATAAAGCTTCCATTGAAGCCATTGAAACAGATGATGTAATTGCCAAGATTGAATGTCAGTATATATTACCTATTTTTTTTATACATACTGGTATAATATTTTGAAGCACACAATAACAATTTCTTTAATATATTTATTTTAAATATCATTTTTTGTGTAATTTGCAAAAAAGGATGTTTGGCTTGATATCATAAATCCAATATAGAGCCTTCTCTATTATAATTTTTTTTAAATAAATTAAATATTTCGTAAAAATTAATGTTAAGCAAATAAAAATAATTTATAATGATAACATTGTTTTATTATAAATCATCAGTACAAAATATAAGTTATTAAATATAAATAAATAAGTATAATAAATTAATAATTGACTCATTAAACTCAAATTGTTTCATTAAAGGCCTCATTTTCATTTGTCGTTGAAGTTATGGTGGAATTAATATTTGTAGAACTACTTTCTTCTTCATATTCGTCTTCACCTTCAATAAGTTCTTCAGTCGTCGATACAGGTGATAATGTAGTCGCTTTGGTCATTAATGAAAGACTAGGTTTTGGCGGCATTAATCCAATGATTTCCACCTAAAAGAAATTATTTATTATTATAAATATAATGAAATTCACAATTAAACACTAATTTAAATTTATTAAATTGAATAACAAATAAATTAAAAGTTTCACATCGCCAAAGTTATAAAAAAAGTGATAGTTACTCTACTTTTCATAAGTATAAAATTAAATAAAGACTGTTAAGTTATCAACATTTTTCAAGCTTTAAATACAGAATATTCAAAACCAAATATATAATAATTATGAAAATTAAACATAGGACTATTTTTCCATGTACAATACCTTTTTCTTATCTACTTCGCAATTGCGTCCCATGAATTCGTCTGTACAAATACACCTATAGTTGCCATCTTCTTCGGGAAGACTTACACAAGTACCATTATTTTGGCATACTACATTATTTTTTTCACAATACTTTAGCTCTAAATTTTATGTTACATATAAATAATTATCTGCGTTTTATATAAACAAATTCTTTTAATAATTACCTTGATCGCACAATATTCCACCCCATCCAGGTTTACAATTACATTCCCATGGTCGATTACAAGTTCCATGCACGCATCCTGGATATGGGTAACACTGAGTACAGTTTTTACCCCACCAGCCTACTTTACATCTAAAATAAAACAATTTGCATATAGTTAAAATTTAACAGTATTTATATCATTTTATAAAAAATTACCTGCATTCACCAGGCTTCCTACAATAACCCCTATCACGATGACATCCTTCTGCGCAAACAGCTAAATTATTAAAAAAATAGTGTATAATAACACATAAATTAGAATTTAAATTTGAGATTGTGAATACGTACGTATCTGACACAAGATTCCTTGCCAACCTTTTTCGCATTTACATTCTAAAGGCTTGTTACACGTACCATGTTGACATCCTGGTAATGGTTGACATTCTTTACATAAATCACCAGTCCAACCTAATCGACATCTATACATAATCATGATGATTTTAATAACATGTTGGAAGTTTAAAAATAACCCTTTTTGTATTTGAAATCTTTATTTTTACCTGCATTCACCAGGCCAATTACAGTATCCTTTACTTGGATGACAATTCTCATGACATACCGCTATCATTTAGTATATACAAAATAATTAAAGTTTAATATACAGAGTGTTCAGTAAGTCAGGAAACGGGTTTCTATTGTTCTCATTGTTTGTAACAATGAGAACAATAGAAACCCGTTTCCTGACTTACTGAACACCCTGTATATTATTAACTGTTTGTAAATTATTATAACAATAATAAAGAAAAATTACGTTCAGAACAAAATATTCCGTCCCATCCCTCTTCACACTTGCACTCAAAACTGTTGTTACAATACCCGTGTTGACATCCAGGTAATGGTATGCATGTATTACACGTGTCACCGTAAAATCCTAAAAATTGAAATGAGCATCTTAATATTTTACAAAAATTATCCAATGCTCACCTAGCTTACAACGACACTCATTAGGTCGTTTGCAAAATCCTTGAATCGGATCACAACCTTTCTTACAAATCGGTACATCACAAAGATCTCCTATCCAGCCTGGTAAACATTTCATGTCACCATTGTCATCACATGTGTAATGACTTGATTCATTCTGTGTAGCTGGTGCTTCACAAGCCTAAAAAACACATGTATAGTTAATTTACTAACTTATAATTAGTTTTGTAAAAAAAATTTCAACAGAAATATTATTTGCTGTGCAAGAAAATTTCTAAGAAATTAAAGGCATTTCAATTTTTTAAGTTGCTAATGTTAGTTGTCAAAACATCTAATTGTAAACATTGCGATTGTAAATTAAAATGCGAAACTTTCTAAGATGTTATTATTCATTACAGCACATTGTTTATGCGATTGAAATATAAATCGAAAAATTAAAATATTGTTTTTTATAATTTATTATTTAAAAAAAAATTATTATTTAGACATTCTATCAATGATATTAAGTACCGATGTGTTAAAATGAAGTTAAGCATTAATATAAAAAAAAACTTTTTAACTTTTTATATATATATATTTTGTTCAATATTACTTATGTACATTGGCGTAAATTTATGACAAAATTTGGAGGGGTTAGAACGATTTTTCCCCGTCCTACATTTTATATTTATAAAAACACATATAATGTCCCTAATATTTGGAGAATCTATGACAACTTTTGGTAAACTAAGACACCCCAATTTCCCAGATTTCTACCTACGCTTATGTAAAAATAATGTATTTATTTGTATTATTATGTATTTTTATTAAATGTATTTATTATTTTATTTCACTGAAATTAGTTTAACATTAACAATATTACATACATATTATATAGTGTTCAGTAAGTATAGAAACGGGTTTTTTATTGTTCTCATTGTTTAAAAGAATTGATCTTTTATATAAATCAGGTAGATTTATAAAGTAAATTTTTCGTAATAAAAATTGTTTTTTTCAAGTTCAATTTTGGATTTGTTTGAGCAATAACATAATACATCTTTTAAAATTGTAGTGTTATAAGAAATTTAAATGATGTGGTAATGTTTATATAGACTAATTAACTTTCATTAAAAATAATGAATAGAATATTCATTTTTAAAACAACTCATAGAACATCCTAGTCGATAGTGGGTCACTAGGCTGTCGTTAGCAGATCGGATACGACGGAAACCCTTGATATAATGATTGCTGTCGTTCCTAGACTGATGTTACCAATAAAAATCGTTCTTATAGAAAGTATACAAATATTAAAATGTGAACATGACTACAATTGTTATGCACATGTTTTTAATGCAAATAATGTGGATTATTTCACATACACGAATTTAAGTCATTTACCTTATTTTTTATAGTTTGGAGAAATAATAAATTATGATCTAATACTTTTTTATAATTTTAGGAAAATATTTATCTGTACTAAATCTGCATTAAATTTATTAATTACATTATTTTTAACTAATTAATTTATTGAATAAATATATTTAGAGTATAACTTAGATAATTACTTGCTTTTTCCATTTCGGAATATTTTTTGAAACAGCTAAAATACTGGATATTCCAAAAGTGCACAAGGTGAATAGTATGGCCAAGGTCTTTCTATTGGCCATGTTGACCAAGTGACGTTGCTTCAGTGCTTTCTCTAATACAACACTGACACATCCACACAACTAAATATTCAAACCCGACCACTTCCTATTTTAACGTCGCTTCTGAGATTAACATAATACAATACAAGAAAAAAGTCCTGTTTGTTCATTATCTTCACTTTAATGACGCAGCAATGAGAAACTATTACGTGTTATGCATAAATATATGAAAAAAATGTTCTAAGGAACTTAATAATGATTTTCGTACAAAAATAGTAAGATTAGCATACACATTAGTGTTAATTTTAATTTTTTACCTGACAGTTTGAGTACGTTGGCATAATTACTATTTCTTTTTAATAGTAATTATACAAATACAATTTTCATTTACTTAACCAATATTCTAAAAAAATATGAAAAATTAAGATTGCAAGAAAATTAACGTATTTTATAACAAGAAAAGATTGCATGTATCATATTTGCTAGTGAATGACTGTTTATCACTACCATTATTAACCTAATCGAATTATTAAAATAGCTACTATTGTGANTATATATATATATATAAATCACTTGTAGTTTATAAATAATAATAACAAGGCTCTTTTGTATTTATCCAAAAAAGTCTTAAATTTTAAACGACCATAAACATTATTTCTTTTTAAACCATTGTTTATCAACAATGCCTATAGTTTATACATGTATAATAATAATCTATTATTTTAGTTTTTTAAAAGCATTACAGTACTATGTGTGTTAGGTTATCTAGTTAAATATTTTCAGGCAACTTTCATTTTTCATTTAGGTTCCTAAAAACACAGATATTTAAAAAAGTACTTTTTTAAGCTTTATCATATTTAAATAAAAACATTTTTGTAGAAAAAAATATAGATAAATACTAATCCAAAGATATACTTATTGAAATTTTCTTCTCAGTTTAATTTACTATTCATCTCCTGAATAAGCATCTGCCAATAATTGAAAACTCTACATATAAACTTTTAATTATTTATAAACAAAACAGACTTTAAGTTAGATTATCATTCATACATCGTTTAATTTATCAAATCATTTAAATTTAAATCATTAAATTTACTATTATGCCTGTAATGATAATACAAGGTTTTTTTTATTGATATTTACAAATTGAGAATTTGCGACTCATAGCTATACAATGTAATAAAAAAGATTAAAATGAAATTTTGTGAAGAAATAAAGAAAAATAATAAAAAGATAAAAAGATAAAACCACTTTATATTTCAATTATATTACAAAGTAGAAATGTTGATTTGTTAACAATAAAAGGAATATTTATTTATAACAATATTTTAGTGAATTCGTGTTTAGGTGCATACTGAGAGACTAACGTCCTAAGAGGCACTCTTCTTTCTCCAAAAAAAAAGGATCACTCCTAAAAAACAAGTGAAGAGTTTTAAAAATGTAAAAATTAATTTTATAAACCGGATTACGATATTCAGCGCTTCAGAGAGCAATTATCTCTAGCCCCGTTGCATAAAAAAATGCTACCTACTCTGTACGTTAGTGTTTAACATAAAGTGTTTTGTATTATTTGTTGAAATTGTTCATATTAAAAATTTAATAAATGTTAGCTTACAAAAAACAATTTTTGAAATATTTTGTTGTACTATTAAATTAAAATTAATTATCTTAATAGTGTTACGTGCTGAGTTTAAACTCTTTTTCTTTTTTTACACTATTTAGTTTTTCATTTTTTTGATAAAATTGAGTCTTTGAGCTAAATATTTCTACTAGGGTTTTGTCATAATACTATCACAATTTTTTGCAACGGAAAAAGTTTAAAATACTTGTATTATTAAGGACAAATTGTCTTAGACAATTAAAATTGAGTACACTAGACTTCTTACTAACGCTTACCTTTAACTCGTGACAATATAGACTGTTTTTAGTATATACTTTTGTAAAAGAACATTCTAATATTAATTTTTTTGTCGTAAATAATGTTGAAAAATGGTGATGTTTTTCATCTATTTGAATATATTCATAATGTTAAAGCTAGTTTAAATGCAAAAGAAAATTTCATTGTATTATGTTTTTGAAATTTAATGTTGGCTACACTGAATATGTTCGTGTCGGCGGCAGCCCCGACGGTGTCTGCCGATGATTACAGGCGATTCTGCGCGCGCGCGTCATTACTAGCCGCCACCGACGCCCTCCATTAGTTGTGTATGTCGGCCGGCTGCGAACGCTATCGATGAGTATCGCAATATTTTGTTAGTGTGTTTTTATTAGTGTTGTTTTTTTTTTTACTAAATTTTATACCAGTGATTATGATTTGATAACATAATTTAAACCCATAGTTCATCAAAAAAGTTTGCAAATTCAATTGCTCCTGTCCGTTCAATCTCAATTCTACAACATTATTTAACTGAAAGGAAACGATTGTTTTTTAGTCTGCGGTTCGGTACAAAGTGAGTACTTTTTTGTTTCATTGATTACAAAAAATGTTTCTTTTAATTATATTAAACAGATATTTGAAATCTTACGGTTAATAGTGTTGGGGTGGATAGTGCTAAACTAAGTAAATACTGCAATTGTCCTTGACCGATATTATTTTAAACATCTTTAAATTGTATCCGTTTTTAAAAAAAATTTAATTGTTAATTACCTTCCATAAAATTAAAGTTATTGAAAATTACACCTTAGATAAATAGAATAATCAATGAAAACAGACATTTTATAGCTGTTTGAAATACAATAGGCAGTTTTGCTGTATATTTCAGTAATAAGAGGTGTAGGAGTGTTTTTACTTTCTACTAAGCGTTTGACTCTCAATCAATGTTAATTTGACCTGCAAAGTTCAAGCAAATGTGACTCGATATTAACGAAAAAAATCTCCAAATTTTGTTCGTTTTTGAAATTAAATTTCTTATAAGAGGTGTTTTAAATGTATTTAAGTACAGTATTAGACATTTATTTAAATCATTATTACCTTAGAAAACTAGGTAGCTTTGTAAAACGGGATTAATAAACAACTATATTATAGTTTCTGGTATATAATAACAATATATTTATGTAATATTATTAAGTTAGTTACTTAATTGTTTTTATTATTCGTCCCACGGATCCTTATCCGGTATATGAGAATGTATTAAAACGATCCCCCTTTATTCTTCACTAAATTTATTGTCAAACGTGATTCAATTTTTAATACGTGTACATGATCGTATTATAACTACTTGAATTATAAATTCTAATAAAATTGATACTTTAGAATTTCGTATTTTCTAGAAACATATTTTATTAAAGAACTATTTTTCTCTATTTATTTATTTTTAATTTTATTTGCTCATACTAGTTATTTTTTACTTCCATTTAAATATTCTACGGGACATTTTAAAATTATCTATGATTATGGTTAATAAATATGAATATAATATAGAATAAATACGATATGCTATTACATTTTAGTTATATACTTTTATTGTATAATCTTGAAAAAAAAATATAACTTAACCACGAGTCTTTTCTTTCCTACAATATTGAAAAACATAGTATTTTTTTATGCATGAAACAAGAAATTTTTAAAAAATTATGTCATTAACAGTTATTATACAATCGTATTCTGAAGTCTATATTTTCTAATCAAAACTACCAATTGAATTAAGTCTGTCAAATTGGTTATGTCGATTTTATACGTTAGTTAGTTATCTCTGATGAACATTTTATTGAGTTTTTAATGTTTTAAGTAATTTGATAATATCTAATTTTGGTTTTCTTAGAATTCTTTAGAATGTCTGATTTTTGAAAAATGTTGATCAACTGTATTCTGTAATCTTTTCAACTATAATTTTTTAGCTTCTAGACGTAGCTGAAAAAGGTATGGTTTTTTGATGGTATGTCCATAAAAATTCTCAGCTTTCACTGGAACACTTTTAATGATCAATACGTCAATGAACTCTATTTTATTAATCTAATTAAACTTGTCAACGGATAAAATTAGAAAAACGCTCTCAATTTTAGAAATGTAAAAAAATATCTAATAATTACGCTATTGTAAAAAATGACACTTTCAAAAATATTTTTCTGCAATTTAAATCTATAATTTTTTTTTTTTTAATTCATCCTAATAAAATTTTAATTGAATACACTAAAGAACTTGTATGTTTTTCGTGAAATTTCAATGAGAAACCTAAGTACTAACTTATCTAATCCAATCTTTTGAAATGTACTACAATACATAAAACAAATTTTGTCCAACAATTGTTCTTCTATGAGAAATAGCATGTCAAAAAAAATACTTTCTTTTCTATTGCGCAAATAATATAACAATCATTTAATATTTATGTGAAATTTTGAAATATATTAAAATTGTAAGATAAAATATGTATAACTTATTGTAACATTTAACAAATTCTAACGGAAGCGTTTTTTATGATAGTGATTTTAATCATTGTCAGATATCATCTATACTTGTCCCAATTATGCAAGTTATCAAATATAATGGTTAAAATTCGCTAAACTATAACAAGTAATTTAGAGTAAAATAATTCATTAGACAAATTAAGTTATAATTTTTTTTTATATATCGTCTTTTTTTGTATGAACTTTGGTTTTATTATGAAGACAAATTAATCAATAAATACTGACATATTATATTTTACAAGTACAAATATATGAATAGAATTGTTTTTTAGGTAATTGGTGGAAATTATAAAAGAAAATTAACTATTATGAAGAAGATTATGTCATAAAAAATATATATTTTCAGTATTTTTGTTTTTAAATAGTTACTATATTTGTTATTAATTTATTGATAATTTTGTTTAACTTTGTTGTTAAGTAAAAATGAATGCTTATTAGTTTTATATATATTTTTTTAATTTAATTTTAATGGTTGTAAACTTGATTTATATTGTAACTGATAAAGTTTTATTAAAATATTTTACCCAGTAAATCATTTGAATATTTTATGACAAATAATTTATTCAACATCTTAGAATTTGATTACCTAATACGCCAATTTTTTTGGTTTTAGGATACTCATAGGTCATTATTTTATGAGAAACTTTGGCATATAATGTTTCTTCTCGTTACTTTTATATTTTATTTTATAAAAAACTATTGTATTAAATTGTATTGTTAGCAGTTGCATCTCCGTGACGTCACTCAACACTCCTAAATAAGTCATCACGTCGGAAGGTCTTCGCCACCTCCTACTTTTAGTGTTGTCTTTATCATTCTTTTAAAATTCATAACATTAAAATTCTAATGAGTTTATAAGTTTTTCTTTCCTTCTTTCGATGGCGTTCAGTATTTTGTTACATATTGATCATATATGTTAATTAGTTTTAAAGTAATTTGACTCTTATATTTTGAGTATGTATATTAATAAATTATGACCGAATCAATAAAATAACTACTATATCACTAAATTTTTATTGATAAATAGTTATTGTAAAAACTGGATATGAGAAAATAACTACACTTTATTGATAGTCAAGAATTTAAGGAACATATATCATTAAAATTAATTTTAATTTAATTTTAAATAATATTAGCCACAAGTAATTAATTCTTATTGTGTAATAATCCTTTTAGTCACTATATTCTCATATTTTTAATTTTGACATTTTCATGCCGAATTGACATTTTTGATAAGCGAACTGCTCCTGGCTCTTTTCCAAGTTTAATACTCTTGAAACACTAATATACATTTTATCAAAGCTCAAATATGCTTTATTAGCATTAAACTTGTCGAATCTTGATAAATATTATTTTATATTAAAAACTTTTCAGTTTCGCATCGATGCTAAAAAACTGATTACTATTAGTTATATACTTCATTTCAATCTTATGTAAATAATATTTAATAGTAGTAAGAATGCATATAATAACATATAACTTATTATGAAAAATGTTAAAAATATTAATTTTTAGTTAGGTTATATTAAATTAATTTTGTATTTAAAAATGTTATGTTATGTTAAGCTCTTAAATAATTTACACAATAATTTCTGATAATGTCTTTCAATTAATGATGCTAAATTCTTATACAATGAAAAAAGTTTATAAATAAGGTTTTTTGTTTTCTAAATAAATATTCAAATTAAATGGTGAACAAGTGATTTTATTATGGAGATCTGATATCTCGATTTTGTGAAATTATAATAAACACTAGATTAATTGTCAGTTTTTCTTATTTAGTCACAATGCGTGGTTACTAAGAATTAAAATTGGTGAGTGGCGTGAGATAAGTATGAAGTTGTTACCTAAACTTTTTGACAACTTTATTAATAACAAATTAATCAAATTAAATGTATCATGAAAGGGCTTCTATAATTTAATATATGCGTAATGATAAGTTTACTTATTATTTTGTGATAATATTATCTAGTGATGCGATTATCTTATTTCATGAATTCATCATTCAAAGTGTTATCTATGAACATTTTTGTTTGTTAACGCCGTAAACGCTATTATTAAATTGTTGTATTATATTAATTTTGGCTAATATTGTATTCTCTACAAGATTGACTTAAATAATATTACGCATTACAATAAAACAGAATAATTTTGGTATTTTTTTAACGAGATAAAACATAACTTTACTTTTATTTTTTTATTAGAGCAAGTTATGATCAAAAAACGTAGATTTTCATATATTTTAAAATACCGTATAATGTTCCCTGACATACCCTTTTTTTTAATCATATAGAGTAATCTTACTTCATAAAATTGTTATGGATCAAATTTAACAACTTTCTGTATTATTTGATTGAAATATCAGTAAACTAAATTTAGTTTTATAGATAATTTAGTTATCAGACATGCTGTATTCTGACTAATGATTTAGAAAAATGTTTAAATGATTATTATTTTTATTCATAGTAGGAGTAGTTTAATATGAGTTACCTTTTTTAAGAATGAATTTATAATTAAAATTTTTTGTGTGTAAATAATAAAAATATTGTTGACTATAATATAATAATATTGCTTATGTATGATGCGTTGTAATCGTAACAGACGCCACAAAGGCTATAAAAGCCAACTCGAATGAAATCGATTTAGTTAGACTGAATCGGTGATAGGAGAAGGGTCAAATGTCTGTGCAACGCCATCGTTATGGCTATTGGCCTCTACTACTAAGATGTGTTAGGTGCATTATTTTGTTGTTACACATAGTATAGATTTTTATCTGTACTTTTTATTTTTTTATCAATCTACATATTCTTGTCGTCCTATAACTCTTTCATCATATTGTTACTGAACTATTATTAAAAAGGTAACAAGTGTATCAATTTAAAAATCGTTTAAGTTTTCATTAATTGTTATTGTAAACATAAAAGAAAAGTGGAAATAAACAAATTTAAACTTTTGGTGTATTTCTGTGTACATCTCTATTAAACATTTATATATATATATAGATAGTTCAATTATACCACTTTTCATGTAAATTTGATAAAAACAA